ATCTGAGGATTGTGGTTCAATTCCAGCCTGGCAAAAAAGTCCATGAGACTCTTATCTTAAATTTGCCACCAGAAAAGCTAGAAGTGGAGCTGTGGCTCAAAGTGGTAGACTACTAGCCTTGAACAGAAAAGCTCAGGAACAGTGCCCAAGCCCTAAATTCAAGTCCTATGACTAACAAATGATCAAAGGAGAAAAGGAGCTCATATGTATTTGTATTCGTCTATCAGACACTACATTTGAATGGTTCACACATAGAATTATGTGTAAAACTGGACCTGGTGGTAAAGACCTGTAATCCTAGCTACTTGGGAGACTCAGGAGGAGAGCAGTCTAAAGCAGCAAAGTTAATGCAAGGCCCAATCTGAGAAACCTACTGAAACACAGTAACAACAGAAGTGCTGTGTCAGAGAAAAGGACAGATTCTGACCTGTGGAGAGTCAGAGGCCACGAGGCATACTGGGGGCTGCAGGCAAAGGGGCTTAAATAGGGTCCTGGGTTGGGGTAGGGTTGAAGGTGCCTAGAAGCTACAAAAAGTTTCAGGATGTGCTTTGTAAGTTTGTGGCTTGAGCCAAGAATGATTTATACAGGCTTGGTCCCAGGTTCTATTGTGTAAATGCACTGACTGGTTCAGCCAGGTATAGTCTGCTCCAGGGAACTGGGGCACCTGCTACCTGGGGGAGGTGGGATTCCACATTTTGGGAACATCAGGCTGTGTGTGGCTCAAATGGTAAAGGCCCAGAGTTCAATCCCCAGTATTGTTCGTTAAAAAAAAGAAAAAAAAAGTTGCTGGCGCTGGTGGCTCACGCCTGTAATCCTAGCTTAACTCAGGAGGCTGAGATCTAAGGATCTGGATTGGAAGCAGCTTGGACAGAAAAGTCCATGAGATTCTTATTGCTAATCAACCACCAAAAAAGTCAGAAGTGGAGTTGTCACTCAAGTGGTAAAGCACCAGCTTTGAGCAAAAAAGCCAAGCAAAGGCCTTGAGTTCAAGCCCCAGTGCTGACATTTAGGTGTGCGTGCATGCACAGTGCGCATGCGAGCACGCGCGCGCGCGCACACACACACACACACACACACACACACACACACACACATGTCCCTCTGGTTTCTGCGTCCCTAACTCTCCACTATATTATTAAGGCCAAACACAGACCAAAGACTAGTCAAGCTGATCACTGTAAAGGTTAAATCTAATAGGACATCTATGATGGCTCATTCCAGCCCCAGACCTCCTCACCTCCTCCATGAAGAGAAAGGCAGGCTTTGTCGTCAACGATCTCCACTGGAGCCAACACTTGGAGCATGATGTTCTGCTGAGCCCTTCACGGAGTGTGGGTAATCAAAGGATGCACACAGGACCCTAATAAATCAAGAGAAAACAAGACGACTTGGGAATCTTTTGATTCCTGTAGAGGAATGTGGCTTAGTGGTAGAGTGCTTGCCTTGCATGCATGAGGCCCTGGGTGTGGTTCCTCACTATCACGTACACACAAAAAAACCCAGAAATGGTGCTGTGGCTCAAGTGGTAGTGCCTTGAGCAAAAGAAGCTCAGGGAATAGTGCTCAGGCCCTGAGTTCAAGCCCCAGGACTGGCAAAAAAAAAAAATTGACTCCTATAATGAACCTAGGAGCAAATGGGTCCATAATCCCCACCCCCACTTCCTTCCTTCTTTTCTTATTTGTCTTTAAGTAGTCATATAAAGGGGGTTACAATTCAACGTGTCAGCTTATAACTGCAATGCTTCTTGATCAGAATCACCTCTTCCGTCATTGTCTTTACCCATCATGCCCTCAATTTTCCAAGTTTCATAGCATATGTATTGAATATTCTTGTTGCCTCCTTTCCCGATCCTTTCTTCATTTGTATGCCCTCCTCCTATTGCCTTCCCTCCAGCTTAAGTCCCCCAACACACACCAGTTTCCTGCTTTTCATTTTATAAGACTGTGAGTTACTTGTATTAAGGAGTTACACCATGAATTCTCCCCTGCATATACCATACTTTGGTTAATATGCTTGTGTACTTGTGCATACTGAAGTACAGAAACTGGGTCAATGCAACATCACCTTGTCTCACAGCCATTCTTGTGCCTTGTTGGGTGGTAGAGGCTTTTCACCCAGCTTCCAAAAGCCTAGGGGTGAGATGGATGAATTGCAGACGCCAGAAGAGCTGTTACAGAGAAATTTTTGCCTCTGTTTCCCTAAATGGTTTGATTTGCTCACCTCTGAGTATCTCCCCGGGTGAAAAGTCTAGCTGAGCCCCTGAACTACTTCCCTAGATAGAAAGTTTTGCATTTCCCTATGCGGTCTGCTTCTGTTGGGTTTGGGCCTCTATCCCAAACATGTGGCTCTTGTCTTTTAAAAGCTTTGTGGGCTGCAGATCTTCGAGACAGGAGTTCACCTGTAGTCGCTGGCTCTCCAATAGACTTCCAATTCAACCACTTAAAATGTGGCTTCTCTGTTTCTCACGACTGAATTCCCATACAACAATACAACCCTGCATTTGTTTCCATATATATATTTATAAATTAGATCTAACTCCCATATATGAGAGAAGACATGAGACCCTTGTTTCTCTGGGACTTACTTCACTTAACATAATTTCTTCCATGTCCATCCTTTTTTTTTCTTTTTTGTCGGTCGTGGGGCTTGAACTCTGGGCCTGGGCGCTGTCCCTCAGCTCTTCAGTTCAAGGCCAGCGCTCTACCACTTGAGCCACAGGGCCATTTCCGGTTTGCTAGTGGTTTTATTGGAGATAAGAGTCTCACAGACTTTCCTGCCTGGGCTGGTTTTGAACCGTGATCCTCAGATCTCAGCCTCCTGAGTAGCTAGGATTACAGATGTGAGCCACTGGCACCCGGCTCATCCATTTCTTTTGCAAGTGTTATATCGTTTTTTTCCTAACAGGTAAGTAAAATTCCATTGTGTATTCCACATTTTCTTGAAGATCACTTCATGAATTTTTTTTTGTCTTTTTTTTTTTTGGTACTGGGGATCGAACCCAGGATGTTGCACTTGCTAGGCAAGCACTTTGCCATTCCAGCCCTTACTTCATGAATTTGTGTTTCAATCCTTGTGCAGGGACCATTCTAATCTTCTCTGGATGGTTTCATGTGCTGACAAAGTATCCCTCCCTTCCTTCCTCCCTCCCTCCCTCCCTTCCTTCCTTCCTTCCTTCCTTCCTTCCTTCCTTTCTTCCTCTTTCCTTCTTTGGTGCTGGGGATTGAAATTTAATAAGCCTAATTCCTACCACTGAACTACAGTACTAGCCCCACATGACCATTTTTGTACAACTTTTGGGAAAAAAAAAACCTTGAGATTACTGGAGGATTAAATTCAGGCCCTTGTGCTTATAAGGCAGACAGTAGGCCACTTGAGCCATGCCCCCAGGCCCCTTTGCCTTGGCTGATTCTTCTCACTTTATGCTGGGGAAGATTTGGGGTGCAGTCCTTGTGCTTCTCCAGTGTCACTGGGGAAGATGGGTAATCACCACTAGGCCTGCCACTGTGCTCCCTGTAGCTGAGATACTAGGTATGTGCCTAGAGTAAGTCAGGCTTCCCAATCAATACTTGCAGAGCGCTCTGGGCCTGCACTCTCTAAGGTCTATGCGTGATTCAACTCAATCTGCATGTTCAGATAATCTTGAGTCATGTGTGCAGGTAGCCTTGAGGCCATGTTTTGGCCAGATGCTGCTATTGCCTAATGAAAACACAGAAGCAGGGACAAGTTGGTGAACAGGTTGGTGAACAGGTTCATAGGGTGCAGGTTCTGCAAGTCTACACTGTGATGGGCAGAGATATGGAGTCCATTTGTGCTGTAGCCTCCTGCTGAGTCTACTGTAAAGCAAGAGCCCTATTCTCACCATGCCCGGCTTCTTTGACCTGCTTGAATGAGAAAGGAACCACCAGCAGCACACAGGTTTTCAGCAGAATTTAAAAAAAAAGTTTGCACTCTTAAATGCTATACCTTTACTACTCACCAGGGCAAGATTTGAGGACCACAGTTTGAGGCTGGATCAGCAGACAAGTCAGGGAGACTCTGATCCCTAGTTAAACAGAAAAAAAAATCCAGAAGTGGAGGTGTAGCTTTTCTTGAGTGAATGAGTGAAGCAGGAGCACTGGGACCTGAGTTCACACTTGGCTTCCTGTCACAGACACACACATGGCTTTTAAAAAAGCAAAAGAAGATATAAATGAATTTGTAGCTTCTGAAGGTTCTCAAGCGATTTATCACTCCCTCAACACAACCACACTGGGGACCAAACTTCTATCAAATGACACACTCAAAACTCAACTGAAATAGAGCACTTCTGCCAGTTATTTAACATGACCTCAAAATTAAGCCCAATCTGATGGCAGGTATTCTCTCCAATTATGGCCACCAATCAATGAGCTAACCCTTGACTAATAAATATGTCAAGAACAGGAGATAACTTAGGTAAGTGCAATCTGTGTACACATCGCCTTGATGGTACAGGTGAGCAATCTGTGTGCACATCACCTTGATGGTAAAGTGAGCACTCCGTGTGCACATCACCTGTATGGTACAGGTGAGCAATCCGTGTGCACATCACCTTGATGGTGAAGGTGAACAATCCGTGTGCACATCGCCTTGATGGTACAGGTGAGCAATCCGTGTGCACATCACCTTGATGGTACAGGTGAGCACTCTGTGTGCACATCACCTGTATGGTACAGGTGAGCAATCCGTGTGCACATCACCTGTATGGTACAGGTGAGCAATCCGTGTGTACATCACTTTGATGGTACAGGTGAGCAATCCGTGTGCACATCGCCTTGATGGTGAAGGTGAGCAATCCGTGTGCACATCACCTTGATGGTACAGGTGAGCAATCCTTGATGGTACAGGTGAGCAATCCGTGTGCACATCGCCTTGATGGTGAAGGTGGGCAATCCGTGTGCACATCGCCTTGATGGTGAAGGTGAGCAAAAAGGCTCAGAGGTGACGCCCAGGCCCGAGTTCAAGTCCCCGGACTGCACAAAATGGACAAAGCACTGACGCGTAGTTCTGGCATGCATGCCACGGTGTGCACGTGCTCGGGCTGGAGAGGTGAGAACGTCCGTGGAGCGGACACTCCGGCAGCATTTCGCGTTTGCCAAACGGGAAGACAAACCGCACACTTCGGAGTCTGCGCGCCCCATGACCAGCCGGTGCGCGCGCACCTGTCGCCGCCCGGACGCTCTCCCCGGGACCGCGAGTACGTGCTCTCAGCGCGCGCGCGCGCCCGACGCCAGCCAGCGCTTCCCCGAGAGCGCGCGTGCCGCCCGTGGGGGGGCGTGGTTTCCTGCGCTCCACGTTTCGGGCGGGGGAGTCCGCCGCGAGCCGCGTGGGAGTCTGGGAGGGGCATTTTCCCCAGCC